GAGAGAGAATACCTGGCGTATCGGATTTCGAAAATCCCTGACCAACACCGGCAGGAAGCTGGTTGACGCGCGACAGGTATTTTTCACGCTTGACTGGCGAACGATCAGCCTCGACCGGGTTCAAAAATCGTAGGGGTAGCAAACAGGAGGATTACCGCGAAAACGAGACTCGCGGAAACTCGTAGTCAATTGTCGAGTCCGCGATCTCACGCTTAAGTGCGTGTTCCGATCAGCCGGAAGTCAAGAGACTCGACAGGTACATGTCGCGTTTTGCATAAGGCCGCTTTTCACGCGCGACGAAGGCCCCTGGTATGCACGTACGCGCCGACCTCGTGAAAAGCCGGGCGTACGGTTACCCCCGCGTTCGCGGACTTACGACGAGGCGTATGAAACGCGTGAGATCTCGTGAAGGATTACGCGATCCTCGCCGTGTCTCCAACCGACATTTTGAGGACGCGCCGACGACGCGTGTTATATAGTTGTATATACGGGCTATTTGAGGGCTGGCGAGGCCATTCTCAGGGGTGTTTCTCTCCGCTGTGTGCTCGTTGCACAATGTAACACTATCCCCCTTTGTAACAGCGTAGCCTTGGAGTGTCTTTAATGCAAAACCGAACGCGAGCGTCACGACGTTCGGCCGCCCCAGCATTACTTTTTCATGAATAGTCCCGTTATGAGTATCTAAGAGGCCGGAACTCTCTCTCTCTCTCCTTCTCTCTCTTTCTTTTTGCCTTTCTCTCTCTCTTTCCGAGATGGTATTTCAATCTCGTGAATATCACGTGCACGGCTGACGACGCGAATTTATCATCACTCCTCAGTCCATTTCCTTGTCCTTCTCCGGAATAATATTTGCAAGATTATTGAAAATATTCCCAAATGAATCAACGTGCGTGAGGTTATTCGTTGCGCTGATGAAATATTTCGGGCGCACGTCGAGAGTTACCCCCACAGCTCGTTAGCATTCATTGTCTCCCCTCCCTCGCAATATGTACTGCTCATTTGTGAAAACGTTTGTACTGGCGCTTGTTGTAGATTATTATGGGAAATTTGTACGGCGTGGGGTTGCATTCAACGCACGCTACTTCTATGTTTGTTGCATATTGAGAGAAATTATCCGATAAACAATTAACAAACGGATATTTCCGATCAAAATACCCATGATTTTTTATATCCGATCAGGACATCCGATTAAATTTAATCGGGTCTTCCGATCATAATGGCATTTCATTAGATAAGCCAATCAAAAAATTATGAATCAATATTTCTTATTGGAAAAATCATCGGTATTTTGATCAGAAATATCCGTTTATTAATTTCTTATCGAATAATTTCTCTCAGTGCGCTATAAGCTTCTTGCATAAATCGGTCGTAATTTTCGGATATATCTCGCACGCTAATTATACTTGCAATCGAGAGAAAAATATTAAAAAAATAAAAAGTATTTATTCGGTGGATATACTAATAATACATTTACTCATACTAACAAAATATTTATCAAATAAGAGAACATATACATTTTCTTCGAATTTTAGCACGAAAGCAATTATTTAATCTGTTTAAATAAAAGAATTTAAGTAGATATGTTATTATATAGGGAAGCCACTGAATAAATATTTTTCATCTTTTCAGATATTTTTACCTCACACAGTGTGTACAGACGTTATTCGTACAATAATTGTTGACGTTTCTGTAAAATCCCTGTAACTGTAAAATCCACGTTTTTCTTAATTTTGTAAAAATATCATACAAATGATTATCTTTGTGACTCTAAAAGGCGTTCTGGAATCAATTTTTAGATACATATTTAATCCTAAACATTCTTATTATTTCTTTAGCTCTACGGATATTTAAACTTCCAACATAGAATACATGTGTATTCTACAAATGTTTACGTATTTTCTGTTGAAAGTCTAAATATTCGTACTTAAAAACCAAAACAGCGAGAATGTCTAAGTAGGCTGAGAAAAAGAGTTAGCTAACTTAACCAAAGCATTTCAGAACTCAGAAGCGATTAATTGGCCGCGGTCGTTTTCCCGGCGGTTTCCCGGCGAAAGTGGCGGCGAGTCCGCAGTCGAATTACGTTACAATCGGACGTTTTGCGGAGTGAGGGGTGTGTTTCACGCTCACAATAAGTCCCTGAAGTGTCTTTAGCGCGTACAGTAGCGCGCCGTTCAATGGTCGGTGCTCGCACAAATGCTCAGCGGGGTGTCCGGCTCTCTCGAGATTCGCCACTTCGATATGAACGCCGGTGTGCGATCGAGAGAAGAATTAATGTCTACCCCAGCACGGGACCCGGGCCGGGCCGTCGCGGCCAATACTTTGCCCCGCCATGCCAGGATTTAATATGTTTATTGCTGTGAGAATGTCGGCCTCGTGTAGACGGTAGATTTTTATCTGCTCGCGTCGCCCTTTAACTCCTCCCGTAACATTCGACGACGATTGAAAAGCGAATCCGGATCCTTCGCTCTGCGTACTCCTCTCTTCTCCTCTCGTCTCGCTCCGTTCGGTTCTCCTCTGTCGGTCTCTAATGACGGTCCTTTCAATGCCGTAATTTTTCACGCCACACCGGCGCATAAACCGCGCGCGATATTTGCGCAGTCAATGATACGTGCTTCCGCACGAGCGTGGATTTAATGCGAACGAAAGCGGGCGAGGTAAAAATCAATCGTCCGGCGATTGATGCGCGCTCCTTATCGGTGGAATTAATTAAATAACTGGGTGATTTCTTTGTGACATGCCGACCCGCGCGCATTAATCTGCCGTAAATTAACAAACGTAAATGAATAAACGCGTGCGCGCACTTTATCGTTATACATGACGGGACATTATCGTGTTCGTGATTAAGCGAATTACGGTGATATTTTTGCAGATAAATTTGTAACGATTGACACGATATTTCGCCGTCGACATCTGCCATTGTCTCTCACAAAGAACACTTTTATATAATCAATTTGCTTTTCCCACGCATCGTCGTTTTACTGCGAAGGGACCTCGTAAATGCTTTATGATCTTAAACTCCTTTATGATCTTAAACGGTCGAAAATATAGCGGCGAAAGGTGCACGTAAAATGAGTTGATTTTTACGCGAGGGCTTTATACATATTTTTATACGAGCCATAGATATAAAGTCAATGTACCAATTGCTGAATTAATAAGAAAACGCGATCAGTTTTATATTGTTGTTAATAAATAATTCATATAATTATCGTTAAAAGTAACGTTTACATAAAACTGATTTGCCAACGATTAAAAAATAATAGGAAATAAAATAAACATAAAATATATTTAATATTATAATTATTAATATATATATATATATATATATATATATATATATATATATATATATACACATATATATATATATTAATAATACTTAATATTAGTAATTAATATTAATATTATCTATAATACATAAGTATGTATAATTAATTAAAATATTAATATGTAATGTTAAATATAAATATAACATATTAAATATTAATATAAATTACTAATATTATATATTATACATGATATTATAAATATAATTATAATATAAACATCATAATTTCAATAAGATATTAGATAATTTCGGTTGCAATAATTAATCTGAATTAAGAAATTAATCATGTTCTAATTACCGAATAATATAGACTCAATGATTGAATGCTTATTAAATAATATTCCAAATTAGCATAAAGAAATATCTTTTAGCAAATAGTTAAGGTATATTTGTTAGAAATATTAAATATAAATATATTATTAACGTTTTAATCATTGGCACATTGTTTAATACTAAAAGTTAAAAGATAAAAAGTTATATAAAGCGTCTAAACGATGGACACGATGACCGCGTTTATTCTGAAGGAAAAAATCGATCAGTTCTACCGATAGAAACGATCCCTGCACAAAAAGCCGCATTGTACACATTGAAGTTACCTGTGGCGCGCATGTAAGCGCGAGGAAAACTAAACTTACCATGTGGACATTTAGAATGTTTTACGCACATGCGATAAATAACAATTTTGAACAATTTATCACGTAGCGTTACCTTTTTCATTTTCAATGTTCTATTTTTTTTTTAGAGAGAACGCATCCACTAATGAATAATACACGATAAGAAATATTGACGTTATGTTAAAGGGATGCTGAAACCGAAAACTTTACCAACAGAATTTTTCTGCAAACTTTATTCGTATTGGTTATACAGAATTACAAATGCTTTCACGCAATGAAAGTATGAAATAGCAAAAATAAATAGCAGCATCCCAGATAGCATACACATGTTTTAGAAATGTTTTATAAACGTTAGAACCAAACGTTACATAACCGTTTCCAAAACGTTTCATAACGTTTCTGAAACGTTTCTCATGAGTAAAAAATGTCTACTCAAAAAACGTTAGATGAAACGTTATTTTTGCGAAAAAAAATCGTTGAAGAAACGTTTTATAAACGTTTTAAAATATTTTATAAACGTTTCATAAATAAGGTTTCAGAAAAGTTCTTGTTAAAACGTTTCTTATTGGTGCTTTACGGTTCTAAAACTATAGATATGTTTAAGAAATGTTTCTGATATGTGTATGTGTTACCTGGGATTACTCAATATGTGACGAAAACGTAAAAAAAAAAAGATTTAAATGTCAAGCTGTCAGTTAGCATATTTGTTTAATCCAAAAGTTCCGCAGCTTGTACCTATCAAAATTGTGGATGCTGCAAACAAAAAAATTTTGAAAAACATTGCTGTACCTTCGCATTTAGAAGCTTAAGAGTATCCGAAAAATGTGCAGAAAGATTTCTACATATGCGTGATTACGTTTTCCGCTGAATATGAATAAAACAAAGCAACATACATTTACGTCAATTCTATATGTATAAGAAATACGAAAAGAATAGCGTGATTTAGCGTGTATTAGTGACGATTGTCTCTGCGTTATCGATATTGTTAGAGTTTGTTATCGACTTCAGCGTCTCCTTAAGTTTATTTCTTCACGTAAGCATCGCATTCTTCTTCTATTTAGGAAAAGCAAATGCCAAAAACGGGCGGGAAATTTCGTGAGCGAACAATTGCACCCATCAGCGAAAAATATCTGGACGTTGAAGAGAAATGTATCGACATACCGACAGTCGACAATGAAGCATTCAGGTAAAATATCCCGTTAAACATCTCAGCCCCGTGCATTATGTGTATTATTCGCAAGCAATTCGCAAACGCAAACTTTGGCTCATTATGCGTGTCACAATTGAAATTCATCACGCGCAATGTCTAGGGAGGATTTAATCGCGCGCATCGAAGCCGTCACGCTGAAGATAATAGAACAGATTGCCAACGGCCAATCACCGTGTATATCGTATATCGGTGGACGAAACAGCACCACGGAGTTCGAGTCGCAGGAGGAAACCATTTACCCGGGATACTCGATCGATTCCCAGGAGAACACAGCATATTTCAGCGAATCTCCAGTAGATTTCGCCGAGCAGCGAGACACGCGAGAAAACGCCAACGAGAATTCGGGAAGAACGACCGTGAATTTTGCGGCGAGACGCAGCAGAGACAAATTCGTCCTGATGATGATGATAATGGCCGAGACGCATTGTTTGCTACTGACCAACACGACTAAGACAAAAAGATCGTTCTACTACGATCTGAAGAACCCAACGACCGAGAGCTTGGCGCCCAATCAACGATACATCGATCGTGCGTTGAACAACGTCGCGAATCTGTTGAAATGCGCGCCGTGGGATTTGAGTAAGTCCGTTGAGTAATACTTGATTACGAAGGACGTTGTGTAGAAGTCGACTGAATTTTATTTGGTTTAATTTTACGCACGTGTGTAAGTTCAGGTTGAGCTTGAAAACGGCATTTTAGCTGTCGCTCCACCTGATGGGTACACTCAAGATGAAAATAATAATAATAATAAATAGAAATAGATCAAATAACAGTAGATAATCATCACACGCGATAATGATAAATGCGCGGAACTAGAGGACCGATAAGCGGGAGTCTTTCCAGGATTGCTGCCGACGGCGAAAGGACTGGTGGCGGGAAATATGAGCATCACTCTAGTCGACAATGAAGTCATCGACTGCGCGATATCGGGAGGCACGCTGATCCCGCAGATCGTCTCAAACGTGACTTCCATCCTCGCGAAAGCCATGTTCGTTTTGGTGATCGAGAAGGAAGCGGCCTTTCAAAAGTTACTCGAAGAGAATTGTCCTCGCGCTCTCAACTGTATTCTGGTGACGGGCAAGGGCTACCCGGACGTAGCCACGAGGATGTTCGTCAAGCTGTTGTCCGACAAGATGGACCTGCCGGTTTACATTGTCGTGGACGCGGACCCTTTCGGCGTGGACATCATGTTAATCTACCGGTAATTTGGTCCAAATCACCGCCGCATTTTAGTGGAACTTTTCCTATCTGGAATAATTTCTCCTGTCTGTCCTTTCGCATTTCTTAAGGGGATTGGAGGATCAGATTGCCTGAAAATCATGCTTGCTCTTTCACAATTTTTTATGACAAACTGAATGAATATGCGAAAGTGTTATTTTTTGACGTATATTTATACAACATATAAAGAGAAGAAAAATATAATTTTGATGATCAAATACTCAATATAAGTATGGTACATGCAGTAAAAAATATATTTCGTTTTGTTTTTCAAGGTCGTCATTTTGTGGTAATATCTTGACTCTCGGTAGTTTAGTTAAACTGAATTTTTGGTAGAAAATTTCCTTAAGTTTGTCGTTATCATGTGAACCACTGAAAAACTCGTAAAAATATTTAATTTTAAAATATTAATTTTTTTACTATAAAAGAACTGAAAATTTAATACTATTCCATTAAGATATTTGCAATTTTGTTAATTTTTACTCAATTTCTATTATAGTGGTTCACACGATAATGACAAGCTTAGGGAAATTTTCTACTTAAAATTCAGCTTAATTGAGCTATTGAGAGTCAAGATATTACTGCAAAATGACGACCTTTAAAAGAAAAACTAAATATATTTTAACTGCACGTACTATACACTTATATTGAGTATTTGATCATCAAAATTATATTTTTCTTCTCTTTATATGTTATATAAATACGCATCAAAATAACATTTTTGCATATTCATTCAGTTTGTCATAAAAAATTGTGAAAGAACAAACATGATTTTCAGGCAATCTAACCCTCCAGTCCCTTTAAGACTCCTGTCCCTTCGTCACGAAACTCTCGACTGATAACGTCAGAAGTGAGAAGACGCATGTCCAAAATTTTCATAAATACATTGAATACATTGAAATCAAAGGACATATTCATATAATCTACCCTTCGATTGAACATATTTGTAAAGGATTCTGAAAACTCTCTTTTTGTTTTCTAACAATCGACAAAAAATAGATAAATAATATAAAATAACTGCAATTAAAGGGATGCTGAAGGTGAAAACTTTACTGACGGGATATTGACATTTTGCTGCAAAGTTTACGTCGTATTATACAGAGTTATAAATGCTTTCACGTAATAAAAGTATATGCAAAAATAAATAGGATCATTGTACAATATGTGACGAAAATGAAAAAAAAATTTTTTTAATTTAAAGTCTGAAGCTGTCAGCTAGAGTAATATTTGCTTAATCCAAAAATTCCTCAGCTTGTATATGCTCTAAGCAGAATAATTAAAGAACTTTGCTGTATCTTTTTCCGCATCTGAAAATATAGGGTGCCTTTTCTATACCTGATCGACTCAAAGTATTATTTTATGGATATCTCTTTTTATTTTAACGCATTTTATAAGGATTTTTATCGTGTATTTTCTTATCTCTGACGTCACCTATCGACAGTTCTACGGCGAGAATACGGAGAGCCTCAACGTTGACGTTATCACGAGTTTTACGCTCGATGCAAAATGTGAGACGTATAGTCGTGACTTATACAAATTTCTCAGTCATATCGGTGAATTTCATTATACCGAGATGTATTTTCTGCAGCTTCGGTTCCACGGCTCTCTGCAAAGAGAACGAGTACTTGGCGTGCCCTAAAGCGCGCTGGCTCGGGATCTTTCCGTCAGAATTGCTTACTTTAGGAGCGAGAACAACCCCGCTCACCGAGGCCGACATCGCGAAATTGAGATCCATCGAGGCGCGAGCTTACGTGAGCGAAGCTGTATCGAAGGAGCTGAGCATATTGCGGAAGGGCAAGGCGGAAATAGAGGCGGTGTCCTCTTTGTCGAAAAATTTTCTCACGGCGACGTATGTGCCTTACAAAATAGACGGCCGGGATTACATTTGAGAAAGGCAATCTTTCGAGTTGGACACTTTTGTAACAAATGTTCCTCAGTCGACCATAGTTGTCGGCCAAGAACGATCCAATCCACGGGTAGTACGTTTCGAAAAGAATGAAGACAATTTGGTACATGATTGAAAAAGTATATACAAGGTGTCCGATAACTCATGAAGGAGCCGCGGTATACAGGTAGATACCATACCTTTACCATTTTGTAAACAATCACGTAAGATTAAGTTATTAATCATAGTAGATTCGTGAATAATCCCGCGTTATATGATAGATGAGTTACGATACCGAAGTCTGCCGCTGTATTCTTGTATATTAGGTTAAAATGAACAAAAAAGTCCTCTACCATTTTCCAAATGATTACATATATGCTTTAATTAAAAAAGTTTGTATTATTAATTAAAATATTATTAATTAAAATGAATTAAGAATATTATTAATTAAAGAAGTTTGCTATACAGTTGTGCGCGATAATGCACCAAACTTTTTTACTGAATAACTAAACATCCACGTGGTTATTTGAAAAATAACAGACGACTTTTTTCTTCAGTTGGACCTAATATATAAGCATACAATGATAAACGTCGCCATCACTCATCTATCGTATGGCACGTGATCATTTGCGAATCTTCTTGGATTAATAATTCATAATTTTACATAATTATTCGCAAAATGATACAGAATTTTTTGTTCAGTTTGACTTAATCTACCTGTACATCGCGACTCCTCTGTGAGTTACCGGACACTCTGTAGGTAGCGCCGAGATTCTTCAAATCTCGCGCGATCGTCCAAGCACGATCCATTTTCTTCTTTTCAAAGGTACACATTGACAAACTTAACTGTGAAAAAATTCAAACGATGCAATTAGTAAAAAAAGATTCAACTAGTAGAAAGTAAAAACTGTCCTTTCATTGATTTTAGGCGCTCATAAGGTTAAATATTTTTTTTTTGTAGAAAGACGTATGAATTATCCATTGGTGACAACTATATAATCATAATTTTGTGGGGTTGGATCATTCCTGTATGGTCAATTATATGTGTAATCGATACCGTGAAATTGTCATCGCGTACATTTACACGCGCTTTACATTCTAACGTAATGAGAAATAATCCTTTGAAGTTCTCTAATAAATACAAACGGCATGTATGTTGTTACTTCGAGCGATGTTATATTTTCGCTTTTAATGTCGGTCCGTGTTTTCGTTCGCACGACTCTCTCGGAAAAGCTTTCGCTGCTGTCCTCTAATGTTATAAGCTGTGGACTTTTGCGAAACGAGCCAAGATAAACGATGCTGCTGTTAGACGAACGTCTCGACAGAATGTTGGAGTCCATTGGATCCGTGATTGTTTTTACTCCGCGAAGGGTTTTCGAACGCGTCCTGTATGGATGCTCGTGCAGCCTTCAACATAGTTTCCGAGCAACTCTTAAATAATACTGGTTGACACAAAATGAGATTCTTTTTTGGCTTTAAATTATATCAAGTCATTTCTGATAGATTTTTTATCACTAATCTGGCTAAAAATAGCATATCCATGTCAATTAAGAAAACTTGAGTCAAAGTTGCCAAAATCTTGATATTTTTGTGTGAGTTACATCTTTCGATGAGGACATGCTTCAGAAAGCAGTGACAGCTCAAAGCCATGATTAGAAAGATTTTTTAAAGAATTTTAGTAACGGGCAATTCTAATCGTAAAATCATGTAATCAGAATGATTTTTTTTAAATTTCGTAACGATTAATTGGAAATGTATGAGAGATACTGTGGTAAATAATGTTTCTTATATTTTCATCAATTTTTTTTCGGGAAAACCTTCCCTGTCTGGGATCAGAAGTATCAAAATTTTAATAACTTTTTATTATAGTCTTGAGCTTCATTCTGAGTCGTTAAACTTTGATTGAGGTTTCTATGAAGATCTGACGTGATACGCTATTTTTACGGCCAGATTCGTAACCAGTACTACGAAATTCATTGGAAACGATTTAGAATGTCAAAGCAAATTTGATGTTGAATAGTTTAACATGCGCCATTGGCAATACACGTCACGATTAAAAATGTTAATACTGTTAAATTCAAAGATAAAAGAATAAAAGAAAACGATTACTTACGGTAAGATGATAATTTATTTGTAATTTTGATAAAATTCATTGTTTTGGTAGTTTCATGCACAAATATTCATATTTTTTGCATTAACAAGATAAAACAACATTCTTCTTATATTCTTATCAAATATATATCTGATAATCTCTGTAAGATCTCTCAGAGAAGATGAAAGAAGGGAAATTATTTACAATCTTTCAAAAATATTAAAGCTTTCATTTTTTAAAATATTACTAAAAATTTTCAATTATATATACTACAATCTAGTCGTTGAAACAGCAAGATAATAAATGAAAATAAGTCGGTAAGATAGTAATATAATAAAAATATAAATTAAGACTGTTTTCGAGATATATGAAAAATATAGATTAAGACTTTAAAATTTTTTGAAGTTTCTCTAGTTACTATGTATCTAGTTTCCTAATTACTATATGCTATATATAGTATATCAATATATTTTATAATATTGAAAATATCTTGCTTTTAATATCTTAAAGACTAAATGCTCCATTTGAGTTTCATACTAAAAATATTTAATTTCCTTAATTTTTTCTAAATTACCTCTTTACTAGCTTTCCAAAATTACCAAGTAAGTTATCATCTATCAAACTAAGTTATTTTTATCTCTAGTCACGATGCAATGTTTTACCGGTTGCCCGAGCGATTGTCCGTTCCACGCTTGTGCAATTTCGTCCGCCTCGGATGTTTCTTCTTGCTTCCTCGACGGGAGACCATAACTTGCGTAATCCACGAGCCGTTCTCTCGATTTCGGCTACGCTGTCCGCCAGTCGGCCTGCCAAACGCGCGTTCGAATGTGTTTTTTGAGGAAGAATTAAGTATACTTCAGGTAATGTAACAGTTTATTGAAAACACTTTGTCCGCCCGATGCCCGGGCCGAGCCTCGCTGATATTAAAAAACGCAGAGTCTTAATAACATGATTATCTCGTGGGTGTTACGTGGGAAGATAACTTGGACGATATCCGCGAAATCGGCGACGCATGACCAACTAACGGCCATGAACGAGAAGTCGGTCGTGCCTTGAAATTCCGCGATCGGACCCGATCTTCGCGATCTCCTGCCGTACTTCGCCCGACAAATCAGACTCGAAGGTTCGCACAGCGAATGCTGGTAAATTCTACTGGATTAATAACTGCATAAGCTGATATCACACGTAGAGACGTCAAATATCAAAACGTTACAAATTTCGCGTTATTCCTCCCAGATCCTCAACCCCCCGATCGCGTTATCGCGTATCCCCGACACTTTCGATCTGTCAATCGCGCCGGAGAGAGAGAGATCGCTCGTGTTTCTTTTTCCCTCTTTCTTCTGTTCCTCCCCCCCCCCCCCCCCCGCCATTCTCCCCGTCATTTTGCGTTGTACGCGTGCACGAGTCGCCGACTGGCCGATTTCGTGGATATTTCCGCGTGCAGGTCCGTGCGAATATCGCCAAAAATCGAAGTAGAAATAACTTTCGTGCCCGTTCCGCGCTACATGTCGAAGGCGAGAGATCGATCGAGCGATCCGAACGACGTCCGTGGCTCCCTCATGCGATGGGCGCGTGTCACGCGGGTGTTTCGACGAAATAGATATAAAAAACAATCCTTCGAGACAGCCGGACACGGTGCTCTGAGCAAGCACAGACTCGTTTCGAGCTACAAATTTCGTCGGAACGAAAGTGATCCACTCGTCGCTAAACGGTCGACTTGTCCTGCCTTCTTCCCGTTTTCACTACTTTCCTTCATTGCTCGCCAGCGTAATCGATCGTCAAACGATCGGACAACTGACATGCGTATCTTCTACGCGTCAGCATCCACTTCGTTTTCGTGCACACAGTTCGTTCGATTCGCAAATCTCAAAGGTGTCCAAAACTTCGCTTATCGATCACGCCAAAGAGATCACGGTTGTCGACTATTTCCCACCGTCAAGGATCAACGAATGAGTGGAGATTTTTGTTTCCTTCCTCTCCATCTCTCCCGGTCTCCAATTGCTTTGCGCTGATACGGCTGACTTTTCGCAATCGATCGATCGATCTGTGCGACGAGTGCATTCAACTTACGTGACTTTGTCGTTCGTTCGTGTGTGCGTGCGTTCGCACGGGCCCAAATCTCACACATTGCGTTCCGCGTGTGAATTATCGGTTTCTCTTCTCTTAAGGCTTGCACCTCGCCGCGACCATGTCAGATTTGTGACGTCAGAAGTGAAGAACGACACGCTAACGAAAATTACGTGTAATTTTTGAATAAAAATAAATATGGACGATAGAGCATTCGAAATTGCTTGAGAACACTTCTAAAACTGTCTAAAAGCTATCCCTTTCCCCTAATGATCAATAAATAGTCGTATAATAAATGGTGGAAAATGGCGAAATGAGACACGATGAAGTGATTCTGTTTTGTCCGCAGGTCTCACTTCACCATTTATACTATTTATTAATCGTTAGGGGAAAGGGATACATTTTAGACAATTTTACAAAGATGCTCAAGCAGTCTCAGGTACTTTTTCGTCTATATTTATCTTTATTTAGAAATGGTACGCAATATTCGTCAGTATGCCGCTTGTGACATCACAATTTCAACATGGCCGTGGCGAAGTACAAGGAGCCTTAACACGTGGGATGTGTACACTTGTGCGCGTGTATGTGTGTGTAAACGTGTGTGTACGCGTGTCTTGTGTGCGTGTTGTTTTCTTACATATGTCTCTATATGAGTGTATCTTTTCTTGCCTTTTATGTGTGTGTGTGTGTTTTCTCTTTAGCCTAGCGGCGATAATACGTTACCAAAAGCTATAGATACCCTTATGCGCTGCTACCAAGGTTTCTCTGTTGCGATTAATTTCATAACTCGCGCATGCTTGTTTGCGTGCCTGCCTCCGGTGATAATCGTCTTTTTTTCTTTTTTATTTTTCCAACGCCCCCTACGCTTACGTTTAGTTTGCCTCTCGCACACTTTCTGCCGTTTATTATATTTAATAATTGATTGTGAGATTTACATATGCACACACACACTCTCTCTCTCTCTCTCTCTCTCTCTCTCTCTCTCTCTCTCTCTCTCTTTGTCGCGCGCACTCTCACTCGCTCCACCGTTCGTCTCTCTCCTTCCTTCCCTCCTCCCTCCCATTTGCCTTCCTCATCTCTTCTTCGTCCCCAGCGGTTTTCCTCGTTCTCTTTCATTCGATCGCTTTCTCTCGTTTCGTGGATCGAAAGAGTCGCTTTTCTCGATCGCTCGCGTTATACTTACTCGGGGATAAATGGAAGCGATATTGTTGACGACGAACTTTTTTGTTTTTCACTACAAACGACCATTCATTTGTCGCGTAATGGAGGGGTCTTGCCCGTCGCGCATTGCGGCACGCGCGTTAATTTGACGGATAAGCTTCGTTACGAGGGTATACTTGCAATGCATGTCAAAGGAGACGTGGTAGGGGGAGACGCGGAAGGCGCGTCTTCGAGCCGGGGATTTCAATTAGTTCTGTTTCGTAGTCGCGGAAAGGTTTCGTGCGTCGCAAGATTCCCTCCATTACGCGCGTTGCATCTTTGTACTTTCTACGGTCAACAGCGGGCACATCGTCTCGACCTATAGCGATCCTTCGCGCCTACTTTTATCCTCGCGAAGAATCGCCCCCGCGAAGCCTGCCCGACCGATCGCTTCTCCGACAGCTCCGGCGAGGGATACGACGGGGGGCTTCGCGTCTCGCGGCCTACAACACGCGCGAACCGATCGTTCACGAGTGTACTCATTAAAATTATTAAGTAGTTTTTTTTCTTCTCGCCGCTTCTATTTATTATCGTTTGATTAGTTGCACTAGCCTTGATTGTCGGCATTTAAGGGCTGCTGGGCGTGCAGCGTACACATGGCGACGTGCGACACTTTCTTGTCCGAGCGCGCCTCTTCCCTAATAAACGTTCTTCACGAACTCGCGAATTACGTTTTTCCTCTTTCTTTTTTTTCTCCCCTCATTATCAGACAACGATTAGAAATCAGACCGGTGCGGTCTCGAAAATTATCTGCGATTTGATAAAGTCCCCGTGGCAATTACGCCCTCTGAGAGGTGCCGGCAGGTCCGGGGAAATAAGCGACGAGGAAACAGCGAGACGTTTTCGCATCAATCGAAAGAGTGATCTTATTGAGTTTCACCAACTCCGAGCTTAAGCTAACCGACGGTTAAAAGTAGCAGAGTAGCCAATTTCAATTTCAAGTGCCATAAACACTGTCGTACTGAACCTCAGTGTGCTATTCATTTCGTCTTACGTTGATTAAGGTAAATGATAGTAAAAGCTTATATTTTTCCAACTCTCTTTTATCGATAAGTGTGCCGAAATGTGATTTTTAAGTCATTGAAGTCACACACTTATTGGTGAAAGATAACAATTGAGACTTTTTATGATAATGTATATTCAGTCTCGATGTTTGTACTCCAGTAATTAGAATTCAACCGTCGGTTAGTTTAACCGGAGTTGGTGAAACTCACCCTAAGGGTATGCAGGAGCCAAGAGCAAATTCTAATTTGACTTTGGAGATCTTGTATGGTGAGAATACGAAACACCGTCCTGTTTGTGTAGTTGTATATGTCCATACACACGCAAATACTAATGTATCGCTCACAACGATGCAGCAACTGAAGTTAGTGCAGCTGAGCTACACTTTTCGTGATATATGCAACTTGACGTATTTTGCCACGCCGACATTAATATTTGCTCACCAAATTTGCTTTAACATCCTCTCCGCATAAGCGGCGAGAATGCTACAGAGCTCGAATTTGCATTTAAAATTTGAAATAAATAAAAAATGAAATTTCTTTAAAATTTGTAATAAATAAAAATATAGTCTCACGCTGCACCACGCGCCGAATGTTCATTCAAATAATTTATTCGCTTTTCATTTCGACCTTTTCTCCAAGAAAATTCTCTGCAGCATCCTGCGGATGTTTCTCCTAATTACAAATATCATAAATGCACGATGATTTTTTTCGTATTTCGGTCAAAATACATCAAATGCCTTTGCCTATTTGGCGGTTTCCCGTGTGGAAATTTGTTTGACAAAAACTGGTTTAGCGTCTGTTCAGTTTTGCCGATATTATTTATCTGGATAGGCGCTAGACGGACGCTAGCTCGTGTAAATATTTCATCATCTCTGAATAGAGATTCCAATTAGTTTTGCTCTCTAATTATCGTAATCTTCAGGCTGGCCAATAGCTGTTTTCTCAATATAGACGGTGCCACGGAGCTCAATTTATAAGTTTGTTCTTTTTCTCTGCATTGTTTGCACCAGTGTAATACGCAACACAGCTTCTTAGGTTCGTTTCGTGTGCATTCTTTGCGATCTAGCAGTAGATAGTAGGTAGCAGTAGATAAACGTGACACGTGACACGTGTCATAGAGGATGAAAAGACTATTCTTAAATCGAAAAAAAGTTAAAAAGCATCTTGTTATTTAAGCTTAAGATGTGAAAGCTATAATGATAAATCAATCACCTTCATACCAGTAAGCCAATTTTCTTTTTTACATTATTATGTTTTAAAGCCTGTTCTTCATTTTATAAATATCCTTGTGTTATTTAATTATTATTGATACATAATTTTTTATAACTTATCTCACATGTCTTGGAATGTAACATTGGCTAGGGGGCAAACCTGCCTTGAGCGGCATAGAAAAGTGCTATCTAATGCCTGGATAGTTTTATATCTCTAGGTTTTACAAGAAGTCTGTTTTTTTATCCGAACTGCCTAAATTGGTGCAATCAGTTAGAGTGAAGCAAAATATATCTGTCTCACTCTAACTTATCGCACTGGTGTGCACCAGTTCAGATAGCTCAGCTAAAAAGAACAGACCTAAGGTTACACATAGAGCTAGATGCTGACCAGTGCTCTGTTTTTTTTCAGCTGTACTGCTGAACTAGCGCAATAAGTTAGAGTGAAAGAAAATATATTTGTTTCACTTTAACTTATTGCACTAGTTCAGCAGTATAGTTAAAAAGAACAAACCGCAAGTTTGTAAGATAGGCTGTAGATAGTGCCTAGAAAATTCGCACCTAGGCTATTCCGGGTTTCCGGGTATTAGCAATTTCCACACAGGTCTCTCCGCGTAAGGTCTCCACAGTGACTCCTGCAGACCCTCAACGAAAAGATACGGGCAACTCTCGAGTCTATTGTGACCTAATAACGACACACAAGTGAGTTCGCACATCACACGCGTCAAATCGCAGGGCAATAATTTTCGAAATCTTCGCGAAATACCTCTGAAATACGTGTGAAAGATCGTAAAAATGTCAACACCGCCGCAGATATCTTCGAGACACTCACTAGCTCTATTGTTCGCGAGGCTCCCGAGCATCCGCTCCAACTGATGATGGAACGGCAAAGCCGGTATATCGTATGATTCGGCCGTGTACAACGCGACGCCTCGCGCGTCGTTCTTCTTTGCCGTTTCACCTGAACATATCACGAGCGAATACTCGGGATCACACGTGCGATCGATGCTCGATGATCAATCGCGCAATGACTGCGAGAGTACGTCTCATCTAATTAGCACAGTCGTTTATCCATTCGAGTCGATCGTCCCGAAAGGGCATACAGTGCGTCCGACAGTCGCACCTTCGACGAGATTCGAGTCCACGCGCGCCAACAAGTGCACCTTTACGAGCCTTGTCGCGCAAAAAATCGGATTCAAAGAGGCGAGCCCGATACCGCGCTTTTCCATGAATTATTGACGATCGTGCGCCGTCAGGCATTAGCCACAAGACCTCGTCGAAGGTACCCTCGCGAAAGGACCTTTCCCATAGTTGTATACGTATGTACAAGTATTCGCAAAATTTAAACGATTGGGCTTATAGGAGAGGAGGGAAGGAGGGAAGGGAGAGGAAGGGCGGACCGAGACGGGAATGCACAAGGGTTCTGTGTGTGGAACAATTTCTTACGCGTTAATAACATTATGGTACATAGAGCTAGGCGCCAAGCTGTACAACACAAAACTTACGATAGCCGTTTCGATTCTTTCTCTTTCTCTCTTTCTCTCTTTTTCTGTATTTCTCTCTCTCTATATATATATGTGTGTGTATATATATATATATATATATATATATATATATATATATATATATATATATATATAACGGTAAAGTGTGTCGATGCCTCTGGACGAACGTCACCGCGTAGGCGTAGATACTTTTTCCCCGTTTAAAATCGAGGAGGCACCAGTGACGCAGCTAGAAAAAGAAAGAGAACGTGAGGTGGAAGCTTGCAAACTCCTCGCGGACCGACGTGACTCGACTCCGAGATTTTTTTTAAGGTTCACGGTTTTCTCAGTTCCTCGCCGTCGTGAGAGCGTCGATCGGCCGCTTCGCCGGCGGGAGTGGCGGCGGGGAAGATGCGGGAGGGAGCGGGATGGAGGCAGGAA